TAAATTAAAGCTGTAGAAAATTACACATGTAATTATTGCAAAATATCAAGGAGTCAGATATTGTAAATTTTCACATACTGAGAAAGGGTTCAAAGTACAATAAAAACCATAAAATCAAATGAAAGCAGATGCAGAAAGGACAGAAGCTGAGGCTATTAGGATAAATAATTGTGAATGTCTATCAAAATTTTTGATTTAATTTCATATATTTGAAACTGTTGTTTCACTGTATTTTGATGATTTCACTACAGTTAACATTATGTCAGAGAAAATAAGATATAGAATATAAAGCTTTACTGAAAATCTTTTGATATTCATTCAGGGGGTTCTAGGTGTTATGTAAATGAAATATGCAAAGTGTAAGATGAAAGTATGAAAAAAGTATTTTTATTTCTGAAATGATATCAACTTTCACTCATATTGACTCAGTGAAGTCTTTGGAAATTTACAGGCAAATCTTTAATTATTTGTGTACAATGGACATGTAATGTTTATTAAAAACTTTCCAGGTGCTGTAAAGATACATATAGAAATTCAGAATCATAATAAATATTACTATGTTAGCTTCACAGGTACATATTAAATTGACTGTGACTGTTAATCTGCTTGGATTGTTGACTATTAAGTAAATATTTGTTTGCTTTTAAAAGTGAGCTGCAGCTCTTTTAATTGGTTGCAGTAAAGTGCTCTTGTAATGAGAGCTTACCACATATAGGTATATGAGTATTGTACATGGATCAAATACATGTACATAAACAATGTTTACATATTATCTAAAATATAAAAACATGATTACACTCTTCTATAACATATATTTAAATTATTTGCAAATGTTTTATTTTAATTACACAGATTACCAACCAAACATAAATTAATAGTTATGGTGACATTATCCATATATCTTTCAAATTTGTACTATTGAAGTTTCAAACCTTTGGAACCTCTGAAGATCAAAATTTGATTTTTGTTGCAATCCTACTTTTTCTGTTAGCACCAGAAAACTGCCTCAATAGCTTGAGTGACTTAACCTTCGCTATGTTAAACTTTTTTTTGTCATGCTGTTGAGTCATTTCCATGTGTATTGAATGTGTGATCCAAATTATAATAACTAGAATACATTACCTTATACATATTATAACAATGTTTTGAGACAACAAGGGACCTATTGGTCCACCTAGGTAGTCCCATCCTCTAAACTAAAACTATTAAATAAAGAAAAAAAAACCCTCAAAGCCATCCCTTAACATCCATATAATTATAAAGCTTTCTTTTAAATTCACTTAACTTTACTGCCTCCACAACATCCAAAGGCAATCTGTTCCAAAGGGCAACCATATCAGAAAAATATAACTGTCTTAGCTGAAGATGGCTTCTACCCCGTCAAAATTTATATTTGTGTCCCCTGGTAAAGTGGGATTTACTTTAATTTAAAAAAAAATTCTAGACCCACAAGTTAGAAATAAGTATCAACAAATGTTCAGCCAAATGGGAAATATTAAAACATAGGAGTTGTTCACAAGATGTCCATGTTCTCTTAAATTGCCTTAATCACTAATAAATTGTGTTACTTTGTGATTTTATAGCTAAGATAATAACTTTGTACCTGCTTTGGTAATCAAAACCAAATTTTCATCTGGCATCTTTATCTCATACTTAAGTATTGATTAATGCATGGCTTTAGAAATTTTAAAGGAACAAATAATAAAACATTTGCAAGTCAAGTATTATGATATAAAGGCTGTATCTGAGACTGTTGTCAGTTAAATTAAATATTGGTACTAAAATATAAAAGCTGTGTAGCTATATGTCAGTTAAATTAAAGCCAGGTATTACAGTATAAAAGTCATGCTTTAGTCTGTTAGAGTTAGTTAAGTTAAATTCAAAGTAGGTCTAACAAAATAAAGATACCTGATGGGCCGAAAGAAACTTAATATGACAAAATATACCCACAATCCATTTACTGATTTAGTACTGATTTCTTAAAGCCTGAATGCAACGAAAAATCTACAACCTGATTTGGAAGCCTATCAGATTAATAAGAATTGCCATATATATATATATTTATTTATCTCAGATTAAAACAAAGATTAATCCAAATAAAAGGTATTATTCACTCTCCCAAACTTATAACATCTAATTTCCATAAATTGACCAAGCAAGCCTGGTTGTGGAAGAATTCATTGTTAGTGATCAACAGCTACTAAAATACTAAGCTAGTGACAGTAAGTCAGTCATGCAAAATAAATATTATATGGTAAATACCTGCATTCTTAAAAGTGAAAAATCTCTGTGAATTATCACATTGTGTCAATATAAAGATGGTCTATATATTAATCCCTTGACATTAGGCCTCATAAAGGAAAATCTACATAAATATAATAGTACTGTCTGTTGTATGTCTATGTAACTACTTTGCAGGGTGTGGATGGATCTTCATCAAAAGTGGTATGGAGATTCATTAGGTCCATACTGGGGTATGTAAAAATTTTCAGTTTTGCATTTTGTGGTTTTTATGGGCATTTTTTTACCACTACTTTGCCCCCCTGTTGACAAACCTTCACCAAATTTGGCATGGTTTGTTGGGTCCATGCAAATTTGCAGTTTCACATATTGTGTTTTGCAGTTTTTATGGGCGTTTTTTACAATTACATATAAGGGAAGTAACCTTTCATTAATCATGAATTTAAATAGCTTCCATCCAGGGAACGGGTACTCCAGCTAGTAATAAATATATTATTTTGTTATAATTATATTGTTACGACAGCAAAAAGTCACGTGATGCTGCTGGCGTGCGTGATGATTTTCTCGAATGATTGGGGAAGTCCGAGTGTGTTGGAGATGCCCTCTTCGTTAGTATATAAGCCTGGCAGAGAAAGCCAGCATGATGAATGGAGAGAGCAGTAGTTACTTTGAGTTCCCTGTAATTTATGATTCTGTTAGTTTCGAGCTAGTGAGCCATAAAGTGTGTGTTTTGAACT